TCCAGGGTTCTGGAGTCGGCCACGTGGCACCAAGACGTGGCACCACGCAGCGCGTCTCCACCGTCTCCCTCCGTCTCCAACACACCACCCAGTACTCAACAGCCATCGTCTCCAACACAACACCCGATACTCAACAGGCTCCCTCCTCAAGGTGAACTTGAAACTCGCCTTCTACTCAACTCCCTCCGTCTCCAACACACCACCAAGTACTCAACGGCCTTCGTCTCCAACACAACCCCCGATACTCAACAGGATCCCTCACCATTATGAACTTGAAAATGACATTCTTCGCAACTCCCTCCGTCTCCAACACGCCACCCAGTACTCAACAGCCATCGTCTCCAACACAATTCCCGATACTCAACAGGCTCCCTCCTCAAGGTGAATTTGAAACTAACCTTCTACTCAACTCCCTCCGTCTCCAACACACCATCCAGTAGTCAACGGCCTTCGTCTCCAACACAATTACCGATACTCAACGGGCTCCCTCCCCATTATGAACTTGAAATTGACCTTCTACTCAACTCCCTCCGTCTCCAACACACCTACCGGTACGCAACAGCCTTCGTCTCCAACACAACACCCGATACCCAACAGGCTCCCTCCCCTCCTTGTAAAAAACATTGTACTCACCCTCCTCCGTCTCCAACACACCACCCAGTACTCCACGGCCTTCGTCTCGAACCTACCACCCGGTACTCAACAGGCTCCCTCCCCATTATGAGTTTGAAACTAACCTTCTACTCATCTCCCTCCGTCTCCAACACACCATCCACTACTCAACAGACTTTGTCTCAACCACATCACTCTGTACTCAACAGGCTCCCTCCCCAAGGTGAACTTAAAAATGACCTTCTACTCGATTCCTCCGTCCCCAACACACCATCCAATACTCAACAGCCTTCGTCTCCAACACAACACTCGATACTCGACAGGCTCCATCGTAACTGTGACCAGGACTGGTCATGGTTCTGGTTTTGGTCGAGTGGCATTAAGAAAATTATCATAGTGTTGACGAAACCCGAGCCACAACTGTGACCAGGACTGGTCCTGGTCACGGTTCTGGTTCGGGTCGATGGGCAATAATGATATTATTATGCTACTAATGCGACCCAAGCCTCAACTGTGACCAGGACTGGTCTTGGTCACGGTTCTGGTCTGGGTCGATTCGCAGTAATATTAATATGATAATAATACTGCAGCCCGAACCACAACTGTGACCAGAACTGGTCTTGGTCACGGTTCTGGTTCGGGTCGATCGGCATTTTAATAATTGAATGATACTGATACGAACCGAACCACAATTGTGACCAGGATTGGTCCTGGCCTCGGTTCTGTTTCGGGTCGATCGGCATGAGTAATATTATAATATTATTAACGCAACCCCAACCACAACAGTGACCAGGATTGGTCCTTGCCTTATAATCGTATTAATGCAACCTCAACCACAATTGTGACCAGGACTGGTCCTGGTCACGGTTCTGGTTCGGGTCGATGGGCATTAATATTATAATAATGGTAATGCTGCAACCCGACCACAATTGTGACCAGGATTGGGCTTTGTCACGGTTCTGGTTCGGGTCGGTGGGCATTACTAATATTATAGTAAAACTAATGCAGCCCCAACCACAACTGTGACCAGGACTGGTCCTGGTCACGGTGCTGGTTCGGGTCGATTCGCATTATAATAATGATATTAATGCAACCCCAGCCACAACGGTGACCAGGACTGGTCCTGGTCACGGTTCTGGCTCGGGCCGATGGGCATTAATAATATTCTAATAATATTAATGCAACCCGAACCGCCACTGTGACCAGGACTGGTCTTGGTCACGGTTCTGGTTCGTGTCGATGGGCGTTGCTATAATTCGAATAATATTAATGCAGCCCGAACCACAATTGTGACCAGGACTGGTCCTGGTCACGGTTCTGGTTCGTGTCGATGGGCATTGATACGTTTATATCAATATTAATGAAGCCGCAACCACAATTGTGGCCAGTATTAGTCTTGGTCACGGTACTGGTTCGGGTCGATGGGCATTAATAATGTTAGAATAATAGTAATGCAACCCCATCCATAAACCCCAATCATAATTGTGACCAGGACTGGTCTTGGTCACGGTTCTGGTTCGGGTCGATGGGCATTAATATCATTCTAATAATATAATGCAGCCCTAACCGCAATTGTGGCCAGGACTGGTCCTGGTCACGGTTCTGGTCCGGGTCGAAGGGCATTAATAACATTATAATAATAGTAATGCGACCCGAACCACAATTGTGGCCAGGACTGGTCCTGGTCACGCGTCTGGTTCGGGTCGATGGGCATGTAATATGATAATAATAAGAATGAGGGTGATGCAACCCCAACCACAATTGTGGCCAGGACTGGTCCTGGTCACGGCTCTGGTTCGGGTCGATGGGCATGAATGATATTGTAATAGTACTAATGCAACCCCAACCACAATTGTGACCAGGACTGGTCCTGGTCACGGTTCTGGTTCGGGTCGATTGGCATTCATATTATTAAAATAATATTAATGCGACCCGAACCACAACTGTGACCAGGACTGGTCCTGGTGTGTGTCTGGTTCGGGTCGGTTGGCATTAATATGGTTCTAATAATATAAATGCAACCTCACCCACAATTGTGACCAGGACTTGTCCTGGTCACGGTTCTGTTTCGGGTCGATTCGCAGTAAGATAGTATTAATAATGATAGTAATGCAACCCCAACCACAATTGTGACCAGGACTGGTCCTGGTCACGGTTCTGGTTCTGGTCGATTGGCATTGATAATACTATAATAATAATGCAGCCCCAACCACAATTGTGACCAGGATTGGTCTTGGTCACGGTTCTGGTTCGGGTCGATTCGCATTAATATTTGTATAATGGTATTAATGCAACCCCAACCACAATTGTGACCAGGACTGGTCCTGGTCACGGTTCTGGTTCGGGCCGATGGGCATTACTCATGTTCTAATGATATTAATGCAACCCGAACCACAATTGTGACCAGGACTGGTCCTGGTCACGGTTCTGGTTCGGGTCGATGGGCATACATAATACTATAAGGATATTCATGCAAACCCACCACAATTGTGACCAGGACTGGTCCAGGTCACGGTTCTGGTTCGGGTCGATGGGCAATATAATATTATGAGAATATTAATGCAACCCCCACCACATTTCTGGCCAGGTCTGGTCCTGGTCACGTTTCTGGTTCGGGTCGATGGGCATTAATAATATTATAATCATAGTAACGCAACCCCAACCACAATTGTGACCAGGATTGGTCCTGGTCACGGTTCTGGTTCGGGTCGATGGGCATGTCGTATAACAATAATAATAAGAATAAGCATGCAACCCCAACCACAATTGTGGCCATGACTGGTCCTGGCCACGGTTCTGGTTCGGGTCGATGGGCATTAATAATATAATAATAATATTAATGCAACCCCAACCACAATTGTGACCAGGACTGGTCCTGGTCACGGCTCTGGTTCGTGTCGATTGGCATTTTTATTCTTATAATAATATTAGTGCACCCCCAACCACAATTGTGACCAGGACTGGTCCTGGTCACGGTTCTGGTTTGTGTCGATTGGCATTAATTTTATTCGAATAATATTAATGCAACCCCAACCACAACTGTGACCAGGACTGGTCCTGGTCACGGTTCTGGTTCGGGTCGATTGGCATTCATTTTGTTCGAATAATATTAATGCAGCCCCAACCACATTTGTGACCAGGACTGGTCCTGGTCACGGTTCTGGTTCGGGTCGATTCGCATTAATATTTAAATATTGATATTAATGCAACCCCAACCACAACTGTGACCAGGACTGGTCCTGGTCACGGTTCTGGTTCGGGTCGGTTGGCATTAATGATACTATAATAATATTAATGCAACCCCAACCACAGCTGTGACCAGGACTGGTCCTGGTCACGGTTTTGGTTCGGGTCGATGGGCATTAATATAATAATATTAATAATAAGAATAACGCAACCCCCACCACATTTGTGGCCAGGACTGGTCCTGGTCACGTTTCTGGTTCGGGTCGATGGGCATTAATAGTATTATAAGAATATTAATGCAACCCCAACCACAATTGTAACCAGGACTGGTCCTGGTCACGGTTCTGGTTCGGGTCGATGGGCATTAATAGTATTATAAGAATATTAATGCAACCCGAACCACAACTGTGACCAGGACTGGTCTTGGTCACGGTTCTGGTCTGGGTCGATTTGCATTATTATTATAGTCATATTATTAATGCAAACCGAACCACAACTGTGACCGGGACTGGTCCTGGTCATGGTTCTGTTTTGGTCGCATTATTCCGAATGCATTCGAATAGTGCGACTCCACCTGGACCAGAACCATGACTGGTCACAGTCATAGTCATAGTTGCGAAGTAATAATTTTCCAGCCCCACCCGGACCAAGACCAAAACCAGTTACAGTCATAGTCATAGTTCGGAATTGATAATATTATTCGGAGGCCACCGATTATCAGGTACGCTCATACCAGTTCTAGTCACAGTCATTGTTCGATAATACTAACGTAATTCGAATAATGTCCACCACAACCAACACCTGAACCACACTCTCCACGTCTGAGTGCTCCCCGAGGCCGCCCCTGTCCCTCTGCCCTCTGCTGCACGCTGGCCAATTCGCTAGTCGGCTGTCCCGAATCGCCGGTCTCGGGCCGAAAGAGCGGGGGGGATAGGGAAAGGGGGGGTTACGAAATCTGCTTCGTGCAGCTGGTTTCGGCCCCGCCGCCGGGCCCATGCCTCGATCCATGGGCGCCTCCCGGCGCCGGGAGACGCTGGGAACATCGGCTACGTGAGCTGATTCTCTACCCTACCCTTTGCTATCCCCCCCCCTTTCGTTCCCTCCGACAGTCGCTGGAGCGGACCGCCTCTGCGCCGCCGCCGACGAACAACGTGTTCCCTGCCCCCCCTCCCGCCTCGACGTGACGGGCGCGCGGCGCCGAGGACGAGCCTCTCGGCAGCACTTCGAGAGGCTCGACGGCCGCGAGCTCGACCACCGCCGCGAGCCTCGACGGCTGCGGCAGCTTCGAGAGGCCTCCCCGCGGCTGGTGGGGGGCCACATGCGATCCCGACCCCTACCCCCCACGATTTCTGAGGGGGGTAGGGGTAGGGCTCGCATGTGACCCCCTAGCTGGTGCCCGGGCGCGCGCCCACCCTCCGCCCAGCTGGCCCAGACCCACGACGGGAAAAACACACACAGACACAATTTCGTCGTCGATCCCCAGGAAAATATGGGAAGTGGGGGGAGGACAAAAATCCCGAACATTTGAAAACACATGGGGGGTCCTGGGATTTGTGTCGATTTATTTGTGTGCCCCAGGACCCCTTCACAGACCAGGCGTCGCGCAAGCGTTAGAGTTTTTGTTCGCCGCTTTCGGGTGTGCGGCGGCCGCTTTCCCGGCCCGGGGGGGGGGGGGGGCGTCGGCCACGCGCTCGGCGCGGGGTGCCAGCTTCCAGGGTCAGCGGGTCGAGGGTTCCAGGATTTGGCGAGTCGTTGGCGAGTCGAACAGCGAGTCGTCGGTGGTCTGGGGCGACGCGGACGCGCGTGTCATTATTTCCCAACCCTCCTTGGTTGGGTATTCGTTTTGAATAGAGCAGTGTGGTCTCCACTCCTTCCTTCCTTCCTCCTCCTCCCTCCCTCCCTGCCTCTTCCTGTCTTGCCTGTGGGGGTCTGCGATCTGTGAAACTGTCGCCATTTTTGAGGCCTGCTGGGGGCCCAGCACAGTGAGGGCCACGCGCGGATTCAAATTAGACCTCGCCATCCCTGGGGGGCTGCGATCTGTGAAACTGTCGCCATTTTCGAGGCCTGCTGGGGGGCCCAGCACAGTGAGGGCCACGCGCGGATTCAAATTAGACCTCGCCATCCCTGGGGGGCTGCGATCTGCGAAACTGTCGCCATTTTCGAGGCCTGCTGGGGGGCCCAGCACAGTGAGGGCCACGCGCGGATTCAAATTAGACCTCGCCATCCCTGGGGGGCTGCGATCTGCGAAACTGTCGCCATTTTCGAGGCCTGCTGGGGGGCCCAGCACAGTGAGGGCCACGCGCGGATTCAAATTAGACCTCGCCATCCCTGGGGGGCTGCGATCTGCGAAACTGTCGCCATTTTCGAGGCCTGCTGGGGGGCCCAGCACAGTGGGCCACGGCGGACTCAAAATGGGACCTCGCCATCCCTGGGGGGCTGCGATCTGTGAAACTGTCGCCACTTTCGCGGCCTGCTGGGGGGCCCAGCACAGTGAGGGCCACGCGTGGATTCAAATTAGACCTCGCCATCCTTGGGGGGCTGCGATCTGTGAAACTGTCTCCACATTCGAGGCCTGCTGGAGGGCCCAGCACAGTGAGGGCCACGCGCGGATTCAAATTAGACCTCGCCATCCCTTGGGGGGCTGCGATCTGTGAAACTGTCGCCACTTTCGAGGCCTGCTGGGGGGCCCAGCACAGTGGGTTACCCACGGCGGACTCAAATGGGACCTCGCCATCCCTGGGGGCCTGCGATCTGTGAACCTGTCGCCACTTTCGCGGCCTGCTGGGGGGCCCAGCACAGTGAGGGCCCACGGCGGACTCAAATGGGACCTCGCCATCTCTGGGGGGGCTGCGATCTGTGAAACTGTCGCCACTTCCGAGGCCTGCTGGGGGGGCCCAGCACAGAGGGTACCCACGGCGGATTCAAATTGGACCTCGCCATCCCTTGGGGGGCTGCGATCTGTGAAACTGTCGCCACTTTCGAGGCCTGCTGGGGGGCCAAGCACAGTGGGTACCCACGGCGGACTCAAATTAGACCTCGCCATCCTTGGGGGGCTGCGATCTGTCAAACTGTCGCCACATTCGAGGCCTGCTGGGAGGCACAGCACATAGGGTACCCACGGCGGACTCAAATGGGACCTCGCCATCCCTGGGGGGCTGCGATCTGTGAAACTGTCGCCACTTTCGAGGGCTGCTGGGGGACCCAGCACAGTGGGTACCCACGGCGGACTCAAATGTGACCCTCGCCATCCCTGGGGGGCTGCGATCTGTGAAACTGTCGCCACTTTCGAGGCCTGCTGGGGGGCCAGCACAGTGGGTACCCACGGCGGACTCAAATGGGACATCGCCATCCCTGGGGGGCTGCGATCTGTGAAACTGTCGCCACTTTCGAGGCCTGCTGGGGGGCCCAGCACAGTGTACCCACGGCGGACTCAAATGGACCTCGCCATCCCTGGGGGGCTGCGATCTGTGAAACTGTCGCCACTTTCGAGGCCTGCTGGGGGGCCCAGCACAGTGGGTACCCACGGCGGACTCAAATGGGACCTCGCCATCCCTGGGGGGCTGCGATCTGTGAAACTGTCGCCACTTTCGCGGCCTGCTGGGGGGCCCAGCACAGTGGGTAGCCACGGCGGACTCAAATGGGACCTCGCCATCCTTGGGGGGCTGCGATCTGCAAAACTGTCGCCACATTCGAGGCCTGCTGGAGGGCCCAGCACAGTGGGTACCCACGGCGGACTCAAATGGGACCTCGCCATCCCTTGGGGGGCTGCGATCTGTGAAACTGTCGCCACTTTCGAGGGCTGCTGGGGGGCCCAGCACAGTGGGTTACCCACGGCGGACTCAAATGGGACCTCGCCATCCCTGGGGGGCTGCGATCTGTGAACCTGTCGCCACTTTCGCTGCCTGCTGGGGGGCCCAGCACAGTGGGTACACACCGCGGATTCAAATTAGACCTCGCCATCCCTGGGGGGCTGCGATCTGTGAAACTGTCGCCACTTTCGAGGGCTGCTGAGGGGCACAGCACAGTGAGTACTCACCGCGGACTCAAATTAAACCTCGCCATCCCTGGGGGGGCTGCGATCTGTGAAACTGTCGCCACTTTCGAGGCCTGCTGGGGGACCCAGCAATGTGACGCCACACGCAGATTGAAGTTAGACCTCGCCATCCCTGGGGGGGCTGCGATCTGTGAAACTGTCGCCACTTTCGAGGCCTGCTGGGGGGCCCAGTCTAGTGTCGCCACGCGCGGGCCCAAATTAGACCTCGCCATCCCTGGGGGGGCTGCGATCTGAGATCCCCGCCTTCGAAGTGGCTAGGGTTGCTCAGGGATTGTAACTAATCAGCTTTATCTAGTCCTTGTCCTGTAGCCAGTGTCCTGCGAATGTCCCGAATTCCGTCTGCAGACATATGTAACCTTCGTTTCGTCATCGCCCCCTTTATAAAGTGTCCTAAACTATTTGCGCACCGCGTTTGCGCAGGGGTTGGGTACGTCGCCAGGGTATTTTTTCTTATCGTGGAGAAGGACAGGGGAGAACGCCCACGCGAGTGAGGAGGATGAGTTGGACGAGGAGGCAGAGGATGTGGAGGAGCAAGGAGGAGAAGGAAGAGGAAGAGGAGGAGGATGTGAAGGAGGAGGCAGAGGAGGAGGAGGGGTAGTGGTAGTAGTGGTAGTCGTAGTTGTATTCGTAGTAGTAGTAGTAGTAGTAGTAGTAGTAGTAGTAGTAGTAGTAGTAGTAGTAGTAGTATAGTAGTAGTAGTATTAGTAGTAGTAGTAGTAGTAGTAGTAGTAGTAGTAGTAGTAGTAGTAGTAGTAGTAGTAGTAGTAGTAGTAGTGGTGGTAGTAGTAGTAGTAGTAGTAGCAGCAGTA